GATAAAATGCAGTTTCTACTTTGTTCATTTGGCAGCAGCAACATTCCGAGGCAGTTGGGAGGGTCCACATCTTCAAGTTGGCAGAGGTGCCTTCTAGACGAAAATACGTTGGTCTTTCCAACCTTTATTGATGAACCTGTTTATAGCTTAGGCTGCACCAAAACAGTACACTGCATACGTTCATCGGAAGGGTTCAGATTTGCTTGATTCGAACAAGCGCAGGCCAAAACTGCACATAGAGACCGGGAGCAACATCCCTTAAAAATCCATTTGTACTGTCTACTAGGAAACCAGTGTAAGCGGTTGTCTGTCAACTAAACTGGCAATTCATAAAACTTTCACAGTAATGGCTGCGAAGGGTTTTCATAATACACAGCGTCAAGAACAGCAACCTAAGCATGACAGAGTCAGATAGGTGGTTTTACATTTTTTAGATTGGGGTTGATGTAGAAAAATGGGGCTAACCAGAGTATCCGGTTCCATTGCATTCGACTCCAAATCGTAGTCCAGTGGATTCGGAGTTAGGGCGGGTGGAAATTCAAATATGCGGAGTATATTGTCACAACTGTTCGTGAGTAAGCACGTGCCATCGGGAGACCTAAGATAAAGTTTAAGACAAAGATAAACAAACATTTCCATGGAAATTTTACAAGTTGAACGATGTACACTTTCGTAATTAATGTGCCACGCACCCAAAAAGAATTTGAATACCATTTTTGAGGTTCAAAAATGATGAAAGGACACAGTTTATATGAAATGTTTCTTTTAAAAATATCACTTAAAGAATGGATTCGGGCATTCTTAAGACACACAGAGGAACAAGTCTAGTTAGCAAAGATTTCCAGAATGATAGAAGTGACTAACCATTGGCAACCGCGAAGATAATTATTTCCTTGCGCCAACTTGTTGGCGTAACGCTTGAATTCTCCCTCCACTCTTGCAAACAACTTTGGCTTTGAAGAGGCCCAGTCATAAATTGCTGTGGGAAGAAAAAACATGCCAAAGCTCTGAAGCTAAATTTAGCGTACCAAAAGGCGTGTGACAAGGAAAATATGAATCAAAACAAAACAGCAGATATGAAACAGGCAATTAAAAGACCTCGGAGATGGAAACAACAGTAGTGATATTTCACTTACACCGGTTGCGACGGACCACAAATGGGCCAAGTTAGATAGACGGATAGTCGGATAGAATTAATGTTGTGGACTTGGAAAACTGCCTACAATTTTTACCCCGCGACATTCCAGAAACGCCTGTTTGTGCTGGCGATTAGGCAAAGGTTACTCGATGAGAACTCACGGGGGCGTCAACAGTTTGGTACAAAACAGAGAACGGATTGCAGCTGCTTATGATTGACTGCAACTGAATGGAGGGACATTAATATTCCTCAACGAATATGGACGGCTTCCGTCCATATGAGCGGAAGACTGTATCAGTTTCGTTAATAGAAAATACAAGTTCATGCCTAGATGGTCTAAACAGAAAGTATATATCAAAGAGACGCGGGTTCGAAACTCGAGTGTGGCAGCAATTTCAGCGGCTACACTAGAGTTAGCTATCGCTAGCTGACGACGGCTAATAAGCCAGAAATAGTTATCATAGCATGCTTGTATTTGCCGGTAATACATATAAAATAAGTATAATTCTACTGAGAAAATGTGTGATTGAGTTGGTTACCAACGAACGTAAAATTATACAGATGGCTCTCATGACCAAAGACGCCCTGGTGATATATTTAATTATAAAAATAACAGGTTACTTGAACACACCTAAAATGCACTTAAGTAGATAGAACGCAAATGTTTTTTAGAGGCTCCGAGTCATATTCCTCTGCGAATCTAAACGCATAGACTGCTTAAACACTAATTCCGGGTAGAATAGTCAAACACAGGAAGTATAAATAATATGAGGAAAAACGTTCCCTGACCTGTAATATACAACATAGATGGGAAACCACATACAACACACCGGGTGATAGTATACAGAGGATACTTACATCCCAGTGTTCAGGTATATGCTAGCAGCTCGAAAGTTCGACAATGGCGAACGGTCACGTATAGAAAGGGTTCCACGGACTTGCGCATGAATACGGTTTTGACGAGTCAGATCAAGGTGACATCTACACCACTCGCTCCCCGCTACCCGCCTGGTTCTAGTGGTTATCACCTCACGCATCTTGCAAAAGTCATATTTGCATATTTCTATGCCGATAACCGAAATAAATGCTTATAAAGATCTGCAGGAGGTTTAATCAGTCGACATGTTCTTACGCTTGACTTGGGGTGCGTCGGAAATGTCTCCGGGAGACCCCTCGAATTCCGACGGTGTTGTATCACACGATTCAGACGCATTATCGT